GGGGGGAGGGGTGTCTTAGCCAAATTCGTATTATGAATAAGGTTGGAACATAGCGCCTCGATTTTTTCCCCAGAGCCTCTCATCTTTTAATATTAGGCCTACACAGGTATAAAGCTCAACTTATATTGAATGGGAATAGTAATGGATCATGACCTAAAATGGTGGTTTTCCAGTGACTGATTCCACACATTTGCAGTTACGCTGTTTCTACTATTATAACTTCGATAAGATCTTTCCTTCAAGTGAAATAATATTAGTAATGTTTGTGGCAGTGTAGTTTGTCATATCATTATGAGTTCTTGATATATTGCCTCGTGGTCAGTTATTCTGAGATAGAAGTGCAGACCTAAAAAAAAATGCCACTTTGAACAGATACATGTTTTAACATTTTTCAGGTGCTTGTACCTTGTAGGCTAGTATTTGTACTTCATAAGCAAAACGTACATACATATATATATATATATATAATATAATATACATAAATATATACAGAATTATTGATCACTTCTAAATGTCTCTCGTGTTTGTGGTACAATTTGGGCATTGGTTCAGGAGTTAAGACTATTCAGGTATGCAGTGTGTTCAAAGCACTGCTTTTTCATAAACTATGCTATTGAATTGCATGTGCAAAAGCTGAGGTTCATATAAACTCTTATTCCTTGTTCTGCTTCATTGCTCTCTTGGGGCTCATCAAAGGATTTCATTTGGCCTAAACTGGCCTTCAGGAAAGACTGCTGTCATTATGGTTTTGGCAGTTCAGACTTGATAGTGCTGAAGAAATAAAAATGATATGCTTGGATATCACCATAACTGCTGAAAAGAAGAATGTTGTATGTGATACATACAAGTATTATGTTGTATTGTTAGTATTGTATGTTTGATGTTTACAACTTCTTATCTTCTTATTATCAGACGGAATCTTAATTAATTCAGGAAACGGAAGAAAAAATTGCAACCTATAACATTTCTTTTTACTTTTTCCACAGGCTGTCAAGTCAGAGCAGGCAGCATACTACAATGATTTTGTCGCGAAAAGTGATTTTTATAGAGTGACCAAAAAGCATGTGCTTGTGACACAGAAATCCAGCACAAGGATGTGGACTGTGACTGTCGATTCAAATGTTCCAATTCAAGCAACAAGTAGCCCCGAGGGTGCCGAAGTAACAAACTATACCAGAGATGAGGGCGTTGAAGACCTGCTGGGATCTCAGTCTCCGTCCAGAGCACGATCTCCCATCCTGAGAGCGAGACCTCCGCCGTCTTCCAAAGGATCTGTCCTGTCTAGCTCGAGGTCACCCAGCCCTGCTAGCAGGAGGTCTGCCTCTGCTACATCTCTGTCTGGTAGGGCCCAGCACTACTGGGACAATGAATGGACTAAAGCTTTGGAAAACGCGGTGGGCAGTCATGTAAGTGTGTCGAGCGTGCCGGCCTATTTGTTGTATGGAGAATATAATTTTAACTAATTTGAGATATTCGCGTGAATCACAATGGCTGCCTGCTTTTAAGATCGATACTTAATAAATTGTTCAAGAAACAATGGATCTGTGAAGATTTTTTTTATAAAGGCCCATTTGTTTTATCCAATTTTTAAGTAGGCCTTTCTTAGTTTGAAACAAATGGTGCATTTTTTTTTGGTCAGCACAGGTATATGATTATTCTCTCTCTCTCTCTCTCTCTCTCTCTCTCTCTCTCTCT